GAAATGAATCTTCTGCAGGTACATAACAACGCTATCGTGTAGAACGTATTAGCTACGTATTGAGAGATCGTTGTATGCCACCGAATTCGTCGTTAGAAATTATTTATTTCCTAAGTTTGTGAGAACGTACGGCACGTACATACATCATGTTACTTGTGCATCTCATTCATCTCATGCATTCCTCCCCTTATAAATTGATTATCTCATTTTGATAAAAGACGTATCACCAAAAGTATGTTTCCCCGAAGTAATAAGAGAACTTTTGCTACAGATGGCCCGCACAAAGCAGACCGCCCGTAAGTCCACCGGAGGAAGAGCACCCCGACGCCCGTTGGCCCTGAGGGAGCACCGCACCACGGACACCTTCTTGAGCGAGTTTGGCATGCCAACTTTGCTTTGGAGAGTGCTCCATGATGTGGGGTACCCAGAGGGTCAAGAGCCGGTGTACTCTTGGAATGAGAGCCAGTTGGCAGATGATGGACTTGCAGTGGTGGAGATCACGGTTCCTGCTCTCGGTGATGCTCCAGATTGGGATGGTTGGCATTTGGAGTTTGAGGGTCGCACTCCAGCTGAGGGTGCAGAGGGAGCAGCCTTCCGTGTCATCAGGGACATTATGAGCAGATTTCCCAGTGAGCTTGCAACAGCTCTAGCTGGTACTTTTCCTAGGGATGATCCTCGTGATGCCATTTGGGTTCAGCCTCAAGGAAGTGCATTGGTCAGAGGTCCAGCTGAGGGACAGGCTAGTGACAACCAGACAATGAGTACAGTTTTCCCAGTTTTCCATGTCTCACACCTCAAGAAATGTTTGCGTGTTCCGGAGGAAAGAATAGAACCTCGAGGTATCCAACTCAAATCAGATTTGGTGTATCGTGAACAACCAGTCCGGGTGTTAGACACTAAGGAACGTGCTACTCGGAATAGTGTGGTGAAAACATACAAGATACAGTGGGATCATCATGATGAGGGAGATGCAACTTGGGAAACAGGAGAGTATCTACAAAAAGCTTATGAAGATTTTTATAACAAATGGTTCGTAACCCAAATCTCGGGACGAGATTTTTATAAGGGGGGAGGGCTGTAACACCCCGGTGTTATGCCTACATTTAGGCACTACAAATCATGCATATCATGCATCATCAAGCATCCTAATCATACATGCATAATCTTGCATATAATAACTGAAACATTACTTCGAAACATACGAAATATGTTTGTGAAACGTAAATGATGCATACATTTATTAGAGTTGTTTTGCTCTGATTCTTGCTTGCTAGGTTAGTAGAACATGTTTGGCTGCTATTGTAAATCATCTAGCAATGTTTAGTTCAATTTTTGGAGCAATGTGTGTATTCAAATTAATTCAAAATTTGGCTTCAAAAATAAATTCCAAAAATTAGGGTTTTGAGCTAAACGTGAACTTTGATCTTTCAATTCAAAATCTAGAAAGAATTTGGCTGTGGTCCTAAAAGCAAAGTTGTAGAGAATTAAATTCTAAACAACTTTCATTTTTGGTACATTTTCAAAAGAGGTCATTTTCTTGCTCAAAATAATATTTGAAAGATAGCATTTAAAATCCCTTGAAAATACAAATGAAAAAGGATTTTTCTGTTTTTTGTGAGCCGCCGCCTACTTCCACCCAGCCCCAGCCGGCCAGCCAAAGAAAGCCTCTGCCCTCGCCTCAGCCCAGCCATCGCCATCCCCCCCTGCTTTCATGCCACGCCACGCCATCACGCGGCAGAAGAAATCCGCCAGCGTGGCGACCAGCCCGCGCCAGCGTCGCCGCCACAAGGCCACCATGGACCGACACCGCGCCCACGCGCCCGCCTTCACTGCTGGTGCCCGTCGCTTTCGCTCACTCACTCACGCCGCCTTCCTTCTCTCCTCCAGCCGAGAGCCTCAAGCTCGCCTCGCCACGCCACGCACCCCGTCGGCGTGATTCACCGCCGGTGCTCCTCCACGGCCAAAGAATCAAGCACCAGCAGCTCCGCCTCGCTCTCCGGCACCGGTGCTCGTGGTTGTGCTTAGTCGTTTGAGCCGAGGTAGCGTTTTTCCAAGCTTCGCCGCCGTCGTCCATGGCGCCGTGCTTGCTCGGCCGCCGTGGAGCGCCCTCTTCCTCCCCTTCTCGGTGGTGCCCAGCTGCTTTCGTTTCGCCATGGCCTCGCGAACCTCCTGCGCTTTCTTTGCTTGCGCTGCTGTGGCGGAGATGGCCGCCGGCCTGCCTGGTTGGCAACACATTGTCATACGCCCGCCAAGACCGCCGGCCAAGCCCTCTACCTTCACCACCAAATAGGGCGGCCAGTAAAGTACCGTGGGCGAAGCCTGCTGCCAGAGCCCAAGGCTCCTCCTCGCGCTTGGGCACAGCGGGCGAGATCTGACCATGGGCATTTGTTCCCTTCGGGCGCCCAAAGAAGTGTTTTAAATGAATTGTTTTCAATTTATTCATTAATGTAAATGGTTTGCAAAATAATTGGATACTCAAAGTTGCTCCAAATTTGTTGAAACAAATTTTTCTAGGTTCCTTATCATCAGATCTACTTGGGAAAAATTGTGCATGTCATTTTGAGATACTTTTCTATAGGATTTTATTTAATCTTGAATATTGCTGATAACTTGAAAAATATGTAGAAAAATATATAGGCTTCAGAAAATATGATTCCAAGTTTGTTAATCTTCTTATGTCATGTACTTCCTAGGAAAAATATGTTTCATGCATGTGCTGTGGGAAAAATTTGAGGTGTAGTTCAAGTACCTTAGATGGCTGATTTTTGTTATTTTTGCTAGAGAGCAAAATTTGTATAAAACATGCATGTGGTAATTTTTGTACAGTCATTATATACCATGAAGAACCTAGGAAAAATATTAATTCTGTTGTTTGACACTTTTCATAGTACAAAGTAATTTCATGCTCATTTTTATGCTATAGCTTGTCATTTTTGTGTAGGATAGTTTACTTATCCAAATGCCATGAAATTTTTATGGTAGTCTGTTTAGGGTAGTATTATGCTACTGTAATTTTCTCAGATTTTTAGGAGCATCAGAAATATAGGTTGCTATTCAAACCTATTATTAATTAGGGTTTAAGCAAGTGTTGCCTTAAGTGTGATTAAGAAATTAGTAAAGCTTTGGTGTATCTTTGAAGCATTTAATAAAATATGTTGACTTAACATATTGGTAGTAGAAGAGAATCACGATAGATGACATGTGCTTGTAGCATAGTTTCTTGGATGATGTTGTCTACCTTGCCTTTCGACATATTCATTGCATTCATCTCCTTCGATGCACCGATTGCATAGGCACTTACACGCATTGCATCATACAGGATCGCAAACCGAGAGCCCAGTCGTCATTCCCGAGGAGCCCGAGGAGCAGTTCGAGGTGCAGCAGCAGGAAGTGCCAGAAGTCGACGAGGAGGACGTTGAAGAACTTCCGGAGTGCCCCGATCACCGTCCGAGCTCCTTCGAGAGAGGCAAGCCCCGGAGCATCTTTCTCCCGGTTTGCAATGATTTCGTTAAATGCTTTACTTTAAATTGATGCATTACGTTCAGGAGTTGTTTGCAACCGTTGCTGCATTATACCTTGTTTACCTTTGTTATACTATATCCTTGTTACCCTGGTATCCGCAGTCGAGTCAATGCTTAGCTGGCTTAGACCGGTAGAAGTCGGGTGATTTCCTGTCACCTGCGAGCTATAGGTGGTTACCTGGATCTGTTTGGATGGCTATGAAGTCATGGTATAACTAAGTGTTAAATGAAGTTGAGACCGGGCGGAGACTTGCGGGGGTTTTGACCGTAGTGTTTCCGTCTGCGTATCGATTAAGAACCGACCGTTGTTGGGCCTCGAGTCATGTTGAACGCATGCCTTACATTTAGCTGGGCGGATAAAGTACCTTCCGACCGCTGGTGGGGAGATTTTTCGGGCCGAGTAGATTGCCCGCACCTGCAAGAGACCGTGCAAAGCGTTGTGTGGTAGGACACGGGGCGGGATGATAAGACCAAAGTGCGATCGGTCGGCCCCGGTACATGTGGTTCTGGCAAACTCGAGATACCGAAAGTTGACTCGGTGATCAATATCTCACTTTAGCGGGTGAGTGAGATTTGTGTAAGGAATAAATCACCAAATTTGGTTAGGAATCGATTCGAATCGCCATCGCTCCTGGATAGTGAGCACTTGACTTGAGTTACTTCATCGTAGTAAATGTTTATGGAACACTTGGACGCTTATAGTGAATATGACAAGATGGAAGTTGTTTAATGATCGATGGTTATCATTAATTGCTTAATCACATGTTTACTCTAGTATAGGTGCAAATCTAGTCGACGGTTAATAATAATTAACTTGACAATAATGCTTTTAGAAAGGTTCTTGAAATGCTAAAATGCTTCTTTTGCAAATGAGTCACCTACCCTACTATAATGCCCGCATAATCCTTGGTGTCATTTATTTTCGGGTTATGTCGGGTAAGTCCATTTGAGTACATTCTCGTACTCGTGGTTTTATTCCCACTTGTTGCGATGGGCGGATGTACTATGGCTATTGTATCAACTCACTCAGATCCTGCGATGGGTGATGCTTAGGACCATGGGCATGGTCATTCCTTACGTCTCGTCTAATGCTTTTGTTGGAGATGATCATCACCGGCACTATATTTGAACTACGTGTGAGTGTGTGTGGTTTTAAACAAATAACTTCCGCTACTTTTATTCGAACTTGTTTTGTAATAACTATGTTTAAACTCGATGTATCTGTTATGGAAACTTTTATGTAATATGTGATTGGTGACCGCTAAACTTATTACGATCATGGTTTGGGACACGAGTTGGTTTGAAATCCTTCGTGATTTCACGGACTACCGGGTTATACGGGCTTAAGTTTGCTCAATCGTGCTCGCTTCGGTGGATGATTTTCTTACTTAATTTCATTATAATTGGTCGGTTCTCATTCTGACTCTCTACACTTCTCTAATGAAGAAACACAACGCCCTAGGATTTTAGTTTGCTCATCTAGTTGGTGCCGTACATGTGGCGGATCAGGTCGATCACACGGGTGCTAGGAAGAGATGAAATGAATAACAAGTTAGGATTTAGAAATTGAAGTGCACAGAAGCCCTAGCCAATGCCAGATATATAACACTCAGTAGAGGCTACTAACCTGTATCCCCACTCGTTGTCATACCATGACACAAGCTTCACGAAGTTGCCATTCAAAGCAATGCCGGCCTTAGCATCAAAGACGCTAGACCTGTGAGTGAGACAGTTACCAAAAAAACATTGTAAGTAGGCCGAGGGACATAATTAATAGTTAATAAATTATTATCACAAAATGGTAAAGATTATTAGATCATAGTATGTATAATACTAATACCTGTTGTCACCCAGGAAGTCAGTGGAAACAAGGTCCTCATCAACATAACCCAAAATGCCCTTGAGGGTGCCCTCTGCCTCGGCCCTATGAAGAATAATGGAGATGTTTGTACGAACATCAGAATGACCATATAAAACAATTCAATGTGCATTTGAATGTTGGCCAAATACTGGGCATTACATAAACTAAAACTCACTTTATCGTAGCCTTGATCTCATCATAGGTAGCTGACTTCTCAAGCCTAACAGTCAGATCAACGACAGAGACATCAACGGTAGGAACACGGAAAGCCATTCCAGTCAACTTCCCATTAAGGGCAGGAAGCACTTTGCCAACAGCCTGCAAGAAATTAAGTAGTCAAAAACTAAATACAATAAATCCACAAAACAGAAGTGATTCTAACAAAAATGTAGGAAGATGTATTTCTATTTTTAGAAACTTTGAAACTCTATATACACCATTTTGCATTACACTACTTTTTTTATGCAAAGCATGAAGGTAATAACATTGTAGCATATTGTGTAGTACACAAGCAAAAGAAACAAGTTCAATTTCCTAACCTTAGCAGCTCCGGTGCTGCTGGGAATGATGTTGAAGCTAGCAGCCCTTCCACCCCTCCAATCCTTAGATGAGGGTCCATCTACAGTCTTTTGGGTAGCTGTAAGATCCACATGTGCCCCATTACTTAAAGACAAGAAATATATAACTACACAAATTTCCCTCTTAACCTATTCGAAATAAACTTACCAAAGGATGGCATGAATGGTGGTCATCGACCCTCCACAATGCCAAACTTGTCATTGATTACCTACATGGAACAAAAACAAATGACCAAGGTAAGATGATATATATAGGATCCCAATTAAATAGCAGTTTATGTCAGCGGTAAAACATCATAACAAGAAGCACCTTAGCAAGAGGAGCAAGGCAGTTGGTAGTGCATCTAGCATTAGAGACAATGTTAATGTCGACTTTGTATTCCTTCTCGTTGACACCGACGATTTAACATGGGCGCATCCTTGCTAGGAGCGAAATGACGACCTTCTTAGCACCACCCTGTAAAAGAACATAGAGAAACCACCAGATCCTTTCAATACTTAGGAAAAACTAATATATAAGAACCTTAGAATAATGAAGAACTAAGAATAAATAAGAATGTACCTTCAAGTGAGCCGCAGCCTTGTCCTGGTTAGTGAAAACGCCATGAGACTCAACAACATAATCAAGCCAACCGAACCCCATGGGATCTCCTCGTGGTTCCTACAAACATGTCATTAGCGATTAGCCCACAATGGTTGAATTAGGTATGAAATATATTAATAACGAAAGGAATGGTAACAAACCTGCAGACCAAACACAACAACCTCATTGTCACCAAAAATAAGGGTCTTTGAGTCCTTCACCTTGACATCATGGTGCTTCCACTGTCCATGGACAGTGTCATACTTGAACATGTAAGTCTGCAAGAACAAGATGAGACTCAATTGGTGTAGGTAAGCTAATCAAACTTGCCAAATGTAGGAATAAGAAGATTCAGAGAATTCAAGATCTACAAAAAAAACATAGATTTAGATACTTTGAACCTATAACATCAACAATGGAATATATCTAATGTAATTCGTTCAGATCATAAAATTCAGATGAACCTTAACATGGATCCATATAGTGCACAACCCCAAATATACACCCCATCTAACAAGGTCCAAATCGTATAAAATGTACATATATACTACCATCAAACAAGCATGTAGGTTCAACAAATCATGCTCCACGCACTCCCATAAGTAACTGAAGAAGCAAAATATTACAAAGACGAAACATACCATGTAGTCGGTGCTGATGAAGGGGTCGTTAACGGCGACAAGCTCGACATCATTGCTCTGCAGAGCCACTCTCGCCACAAGCCTACCAATCCTACCAAACCCTGCACAAACCAAAAATCCACACCAACTAAGAACTCAGATAGACCAGCAAAACTGATCAGATTTGTAAGAGGTTGTGAATAGAACTCACCATTGATCCCGATCTTGATCTTCGCTGCAAACCGGACGGAGCAAATTTAAAAAAAACCCAACCAAACCAAGAAACACATTAGATCAATAGAAATTATATCACCGCCATCAACCCACTCCCAAAACTAAAACACAACAACTAACTATGCTCGCAGATTAAATGACGATGACATTACCCATGGGGACAGAGAGCGACACTGCGTGACGGAGGGGAGATGAAGAAGGAAGGCTGGATTAGTTTCAAGTAGTAGGAGATCGAGATGGGGTCATAGGAAACGACTATATATAGGTCCACCACCCCGCGCTGCAGATTGTGGAGCCTTTGTTTTTTGGTTACCGATAAAAATAGTGGAGCGAGTACGTGAGGATATATGTATGCCAAGTGGGATATCTGAGAGGTCCGACTGCTCTGCTCCAGAAATCGCAAGAACAAAAGGGTATGCTCTCTTTCACTAATAATACAATAATATCTAAACATCCTTACATGCTAAAAACCATAATAGAAATACACACACAAAAAGAGGTTGTATATTAATGACAAAATATGCATATATTTACATTCTCACATGAAAGATGATGCTATCTAGGTACATAGGTAGGCTGTGGCTTATTTGGTTCAGGTTCTAGAAAAGTGTTTCTACTACTACCAAGCAGAACACCAACGTAGAACCAGAAGCTGCTTTTCTGGAAGGAGCTGCTTTTGCGCAGTATAATTTTCGTAGCACCTTGGACCTTGTCTTTGGTGTTTGGTTTTCTGCTTTTCCAAATGGGTGAAAATAGAGTGATGTTTTATAGCTGTTTCAAGGGAGATAAAGAGAGTGGACAGTTTTTATAGTTGTTTTAACCAAACAATCTAGAAAATTTTAAGGTGCATAGCTCACAATCTTTTTTTCACGGCTCATAGTTCACAATATTTTTGTTACGGCTCACCGCTCAACCAAAACCCTATATTAACCTCATATAGGCAGGCAAGAATGCATGCATATCATTCTGGCCACCCATCGTTCCGCAGCAGGGAGCACTATGCACGCACACACACCCAAGAGACCTAAGAGGGACGTAATTTGAATAAACATCGAGCTGCAAATCCTAAGATGACCATGCAACGAGATTAACGACAACAGGTATATTTGCTAGTATAACATCTGGTGGCTACGGTCTACACGTCACAGGCAAGGATAGGCCAAAATTCAGGATACGGTCTTGTTTAGATTGGGGTTAGGAATCAGTATTTGGTACTATAGCACTTTTGTTTGTATTTGACAATTATTGTCCAATCATGACCTAACTAGGCTCAAAAGATTCATCTCGTAATTTATAATACTCTATGCATACATCCAAAGATTTAATGTGATGGAGAGAGAGTGAAAAAACTTACAATCTAAGGGGGTGTTTGGGACTGCTCCACAAACTCTGCTCCACAAACTCCACTGTGGAGCAGCTCCACAAAAAACTGGAGTTTGTGGAGTACCTCTTTAGGTGCTCTCACAACTCCACCCTTTTTCCTGGAGCAGAGTGCGTGGAGCTGAAACCGTTTGGCTAAAAAACGTGGAGCGGAGTTAAAAAACGTGGAGCGGAGCAGTCCCAAACACGCCCTAAATCAGACCTAGGTTTGAAGCAAAGGCCATGCCTCGAATGGCCCAGCCCTCCTATGTGGATGCATGCGAGTGCCTGGATCCATGACGACGTGTGGCCCAGCCCAAATTGACGTTTCGAATGGAGGCCCAAAGTTTATATACCCATGTTCTGATGACAGCAGTTTTGTCTCCTTTTTCTTTTCCTTTTCCTCGTTTAATTTTTGAAAGCATGTTTTAATCCGCTAGAGATTGGTCTCATATATAATAATGGATAAAGTACATTTTATATAACATATGCGGAGATTATTAGATCAAATTATTTTTTTCTAAAAAAATAGTATTCCTGTCTATATGTGTGCACGCGGTTTTTTTCATGAACCTGTATCGTTACATGTGTAATCGTGCATCGTCGTGTCGATATATACCTACTGATTCAATTAAATAAACATTTAGATCTATTCACATCTTCGGATTTAAGAAAACAAAATTGTACAGAAACTTGAACAGTAAAGCCCTGTCTGGCACAGTTTTTCCACCGGCTTCATGAGCTGTTCGTAGTCATTTTGTGTCAAACTGGGTAAAACCAAACGACTTCATTTTTTGGGAGTCCTTAAACATGCTCTCGCATGAGTTTAAGGTGGGATGGAGATAAAAAATAATGGTTTTATTCACTCGGCTCCAACCCATGCACGTGGACCCTACCATGCGGGGTGCCAAATTTGCCCTAACTTGGGAGGGCATGTGGGTGTCACGCAGGCGTGGCCACCAAGGCGCGCAATCATCACGGCGAGGGCACACCGTCGTCACGACCATCTTCTTGAGCTCACGAGCAGCGGGGTCGATGTGTGGCATGCGGAGGAAAGAGAAGTCGCAGGGAAGAGAAGATGGGAAATACAGGAGGAAGAGAAGGGTATAATAGTCAATTTAAAGTTTAAAAGCTATTTTTTTAACCTGTGGAGTTGTTTTGCCAAATTTGGTCTAAAACAGCTTCAGCTCCACCAGAAGAGTTGTTTGTGGAGTTGAAGCTAAAAAAATGACTTCCCTAGTGAAGTAGAGCCGTGCCAAACGTGGCCTAACTCTAAGGGCCTTTTTGGCCGGACTCCTCTTGGCTCTCTGGCTCCGTACTACATTGGTCGAGGAGTTGGAGTCGGAGGATCCAGAAACAATAGCTTCTCCTACGGGTTCCTATTTCATTTGAGAGAAGAGAACAAACGACTTTGATGAACAGTGTCATGAATGATACACAATTACTCCCTCCGTCCTCAAATAAATCAATTCCTAGAATTCGTGCCAGTCAAACTTTTTAAGTTTGACAAATTTTATAGAAGCGAGTAACAACATCTATGACATAAAATGAGTACTTTATGAAAATATATTATATGGTAAATCTAATTATACTAATTTGATACATAAATCTTAACGTTTTTATTTTTAAGAAATTCAATCAAAGTTTAAAAAGTTTGACTTATCGGGACGGAGGGAGTAAGTTGAGAGTTGAAGCCCCCTGTAGCACGTCTGTCATGTACCATCTATCGGCCTATTAAGCGTCAGCTGGTTTAGCTTCCTTGTGAAATCTACGTCTGTGCTTTGTAAAAAAAAATGGGCTGAACCTTTTTTTTATCACTTTCCAGTACCACAGAAAGTGGCAAGAATAATAGAATCACTGCCGGAGGCCGCGGCTTTGTCGAGTGTTTTTACACTCGGCAAAGAGCCCTTTGCACTCGGCAAAGACTTTGCCGAGTGTAGCGCTTCAACAAGTCCGCTCGGCAAAATTTTTCTCGGCAAGGGTCTTTGCCGAGTGCTTTTTTATCGGGGCACTCGGCAAAATAAAAACAATTTTGCCGAGTGCTTAGGGCGCACTTTCGGCAAAATATTTTCGGTCGTTCCACCGTTCACGGTTATTTTGCCGAGGGCCCCGACCCAAAGACTCGGCAAAAAAAAAATTATTTTTAAAGATTACTTTGCCGAGTGCCCAAGTCCGGGCACTTTCGGCAAAGTTTTTTAATTATTTTTTAAAAATTACTTTGCCGAAAGTGCCCCTGTCCGAGCACTCGGCAAATTTTTTTTAAATTACTTTGCCAAGTAACTCCGCCTGCACTTTCGGCAAAGAATTTCTGATTTTTTTAAAAATACTTTTGCCGAAAAGTGCACGCCTGTGCACTCTCGGCAAAGTTTTTTATTTTATTTTTTAAAATACTTTGCCGAGTGCCCCGCCCGACACTCGGCAAAGTTTTTAAAAATATATACTTTGCCGAAAAGCGCCACCAGCACACTCGCAAAGAATTTCGGATTTTTTGAAAAAAACTTTGCCGAGTGCCTTGTCCATGGCACTTTCGGCAAAGACCCCAAGAATTGTAATTTTTTACATTCCACCGCATCGCATAATATATATATATCAATCATCACATCTATATCACCAACATGCATTATATATCACAAGCACACGCATATTTAATAAATCCATCGAAAATCCATCATAAATGCACCAAAGTTCAACATCACAAGTTTATTATTACAAGTTCGACATCACAAAGTTCAACATCTCTCTTCATGGGCGACGAAAATCTGCTGGTGTGGCCCCGGACAATGGTGAAGGACCGGACTACGGGCGAAGGGTTGACGGATGAGCATGATGACACGCTAGCGGGATTGTTTAAACCCACCGACGGAGGCTGCACAAAAAGAGAAGAGATTGCATGTGTTAGACTAAAAATTGAAAATTTTCGGCAAAGACCTCCCTCGCACGGGAGGTTTCCAACTCAAGAAGAAACAACGGCACGAAGGCCGACAATCACAACGCAACGAAGGCCGACAATCACAACGGCACGAAGGCCGAAAATCACAATGGCACGAAGGCCAACAATCCCAACGGCACGAACGCATTAAACTTCCATACTCACAGGAGTGAAGTGTCGAACCGGAGCTGGAGCTGGCAACTGCACTTGGACATCCGATGCTTGCCCGATGGTTTGCATGATCTGATACATGTCCGCCATCTGCTTCTTCGTGGCCTCCAGCTCTGCGGTCAGGTGCGCTTGCGTCTCCCTTGTCTCTGCCAGCTCGGCCTGCAGTGTTTCAATCACATGTTTCAGTATTGCAAATCTGATCAATGTGTGTAACGTTCAATGTACGACGAGTGAAACCAGAATTACCTGAAGTAAGTCGACCCGCGACAGTGTTAGAGTAGGCCGTGCACGTATGGGAAGGCTTCTGGCCGTGCTCCGTGCAAGCTCAAGCATGATACATCGTTATACTATTGGAACGTACAAGCTACTAAGGAATATCGACGAACGTACGACCTTTTGTTTGAACCAAGAAATAAAATCAGGCCTCCCAGCTCCCGCACCCTCTGAAAGAAGGGTATCATGTTCGTGCGAGGTAGGATCCCTTGATTGATGCCACTCTTGACGAACAAATTCCCTGTACCAAAGAGAATCAATGGGGTTCGATACAGAACAGTGACGTCGTATTGAAACAAGTTCGTTGAGAACTTACTTAATGAATGGCGCAACCTCGACAAGGTTGGTGAACACATATAGCGTGATTCTGCGCCACTCTTCTGGATCCAATCTCTTGGGGGTCGATCCACTTGCGCTGCCTAGT